TTTATTGATTTCCCAACATATTATATCTTTATCAGTTAGCCGATATATAGAACGTCAGGAAGGTGACTTGTAACCTGATGAAGAGGGCCAGGCTGTGCCTAAACTGCCATAATTAATGAAAATATAGATATACAGTTCAAATACACACAACCATAAAACACTATTTCACCCTTTACATTTGTTGAGAAGATGAACAAGGTGCCAGAAGGATATCTGTAAAACGCATGCACCCTCTTATGCACTGGGTACTATGAATCGCATGCTAGTTTCCTCGGAACGAGTGGGAGAGCTTCAAGCTCACTTCCATTGTCAGCAATACGAAGCCCCCTTCGCCCCCCCCCCCCCCCAGGTTAATTGCTTACTGAATATCAACTTCATGCAACTACCCGCATTGTCTGTGCATGGGCATGTATGGATGGATTCCCGGAAGCCCAAAGAGATGTCCCGAAGCCCAAATAAAGAAGAGCTGCATGCCTTTATAGGCGACGGCCCAAACTTACAGATTAAAGAACTTTGTGTCTTTAATCTGTGAGTGATCCAAATCAAAATCCAACTAAGCTACTGGGGCGGACTGCTAGAACCACCAGAACGGTTCAAAGATCATTGTTTCCGGCCTTCGTAAAAACACATACATGTTCCCATCATAAGCACTCATGCTGGTTGATGGCTACGAAAAATTCGACGCCAACACACCCTACCAGTGGAAGACCAAGAATACATTCCTGTCAAGACATCGTGCCTGCAACTCAATTCAGACCTCAGATACAGTCCGAACCACGAACAGAGAAAACTGGGAGATGCTTGTGTGGCAAAGACGCTGTAGGTAATTTTCTTCCCCACTGCCGTGCTCCGAAGAGGTTCAGGCGAGAGGTATTGCTTTAGTAGAATGTCCGACCGGGTCGATTGCTTGTATTCAACTTTCGGGTCAGTGGCCAGCTGATCGGGTACCGACAGCTAAACATACCAGCTGATCGAGTACCGGCAACTAAACATGCCAGCTGATCGAGTACCAGCAGCTAAACGCGCCAGCTGATCGAGTACCGGCAGCTCAACATCAAGTCAATCTTTGAACCAGCCGAGGTCTAATGACATGGGCTACTTTTGGGTGCAGAATAGAAATACATCCCACATTTTGAAATTACCGACCGATATGCCGAAAGTTGCAACGAGATCCCAGGGATAAACCAGATTTCCCAAGAGATTGACAAATGTCCCCAAGATATTGGCAAATGTCCCCAAACCCCTGGCTACTATCCGGATGGTTGCTCGAGTAGCATTTCGCTGCCCTGTAAACTTAGCGAAGATGGGGAAAATCCACGCTCAAAATTCACAACATTTAAAATGATGAGTAATGATCTGTCGCTATGATCACCATTTAGCTCCTTCGAGGTTGATTCTATTCTGCTATTTTTCACCGATCTGGTGACTTTCTGGGTGGCATCAGCGTATGCTGCCCTATGGTATGCGTGTTTAAGAACAATTACAAATAGAACGCATGTTATTAATTGTAAACGCTCGTAAAAGCTGAAACCGTTGAGCTCGGGGGAGAAAAGTTCGAAGAGTGCATTTTTGGATCCCAAATCCACGGCCCGAGTCCGTGCGCGTGCGGATTTTTTCGCCGGTTTCACACCTCCCCACGGCGGGCTGGTCTCTTTCTGCGACGCTGACCGACGCCTCGAGTCGCACCCTCCTGCAGTCACGGCACCCACGTGACAACTATGACCTCGTCAACAATATGCAGACTGACATCAAGGCTGTCTGAAATAACTCTGACCACGCGGAGACCACGCCATCGATGCACCGCAGCTTGATATGCAAACATCGCTCTGGAATGCTGCTCTGAGGTGGCTCAACGGGTGGAAGACGACACTGTACGCCCGACGATGATGGCTCATCGCTTTTCAGCACCACTGATGGAACCCTGTGCGGACCATTGGCGGCCAGCGTTGATTCGCTTTGATCGCTGATAGTCTTAAGTGATGCGGGCATTCTGCCTCGTCGCGCCATGCCGCACGTTTGATTTGGCAGTAGCCTGCCGGGCTATCATCGCATCACCGTGCCGCCGCTGGGTGCAGGCGGGCATGGAGGTGCTGGAGACAGCGGGAATTAGCATGAGTCTCGGCCACGGTCCCGATATTGCATGCAGCGCGTGGAGCGAGAACCCACCAGTCACCAGAGACGAGAGCCGAGTCATGCAAGCCGGCCACGAGCCCATTGGTGTCAGCTGAGCTGTCGGCAGTTTAATGCATGCCCCCGAGTGCGCCCCATTTATCTGTCGCCGCCGTCTGGTGCGGAGGTGCGGATATCTTACGGAGCCAGTCACGCTGCGACGTCTGGGTGTCGGAGCCCCCGGGGCGGCAGAACCGGACCCGGCAGGATGCGGGACCTGTCGTATGCTGACGAGCGTATCTTTATGGCTGATGGGATGACTGAGGTGAGGCATTATTATCGCGGACGGAATAGCTGTTCCGGCTATCGTCTTCGGCCGGTGTGTTAGTATGTGCACAACGCTTCGGCCAGTTAATTTTATCGACCGTCTTCAGATTTTATTGAGTCCTTAAAAGGACTTGATGCTATTTGACTTTCGGCCATGTGAGCGTCACAAACCCGAACTTTCCTGTTGGAACTGCTGGAATTTCGACTAAGGCCTTTTGGTTACAAGTTCAGCGCTCCACCACTGGGCTAACCGGGCATGGTTCGTAATCAGGAGACCACACTTCAAATCCCAGTAATTCTAAGAAAAAAGGTTGCGGCTCATGCATGACCGAAAGCCAAACACCATCCAGCTCTTCTCAGGATTCAGCTACACCTGACGGCGAATGGAGAAATGACTGGCCGAAACGTCATGTGTATACCGGCACACCAGACCGGTACGGTAAACCACACGATTATTCTATCCGACTGCGCCTTCCTTGCATCATGCATGTTTGTCTGAGGACGGAAGAGCCCGAAGGGTGGGGGACAGTGGGAGCAGCTCCCTCCCCCCCCCCCCCCCACCCAACTTGAAAGCTGGGGACGGCGTCCCCGCAACTCGAAGGGCCCGTGGTAGGCTCATTGTGGTGTGTTAAGGGCCCATTCTGAACTGTGAAGCCCGTAAAAGCCCATTCTGACCTGTCGAGGTCTCGTAACTTATTTTGGGTCCATTCTGACCAATGGAGGGCACTTCTGAGCCTGTAGAGGGCTCACTCTGGCTTGAAGAAAGCCCATTATTGACTTGGAGGTCCCATTCCGGCCTGTAGAGGCACATTCTCATCTATAGACGGTCCATTATTGACTGGAGGGCCCATTGGACCTGTGGAGGACCCATTCTGCCCCTTAGAGGACCCCTTCTGGCTTGCAGAGGTCCCGTTATGGGCTGTAGAGGGTCCATATTTGATTGTTGAGGGCCCATTCTAGACTGCAGTGGGACCGTGGTGGCTGTAAGGGATTCATTTTTGACTTCGAGGGCTTAATCTGGATTGCGCATGGCTCATTTTGACCCTGTAGAGGGGCCCATTCATGTTCATAAAGGGCCTACCATTGAATAAAATTGCCATTATCCTGACCTGTAAATTACCCATTCTGATCTTAAAAGGCCATTATTGACTGCGGAGGGGCAATTATGGTCTCCAGAGGGCCTATTTTGGCCTGTATTCTGAACTGCAGAAGGCCTTTTACGACCGTAGCGGGTGCATTCTGTCATGTACAGGAGTCATTGGGGCTTGTGGAGGACCCATTGCCAGCCATTACCATACCAAACATTACCATACCATTACCATACCAGCCATTACCATGCCACTTTATACCAGCCATTTTGGCCTGCAGAGAAACCATGTTTTGCTGTGGAGGGCCCATTGTGGCTTGAAGAGGGCCCATTCTGACAGGTGGAGGACCCATTATTGACTTTGGGGAGCCAATTCTGGCCTGTAGAGGGCCCATGCTGACCTGCAAAGGGGCTCATTTAGGCCTGTAGAGGGCCCATTCTGGCCTGTAAAGAGTCCATTCTGGCTTAACGGGGGTCCATTCTGTCCGGCAGAGGCCGCATTCTGACCTGTAGTGGGCCATTCTAGCCTGAAAGAAAGGGGCCCATTACTGAATGAGGAGGGCCATTTTCTCCCGCAGCGAGCCAGTTCTGGTCCTATGGGACACATTTTGGCCTGTAGAGCGCACATTATTGACTACAAAGGACCCGTTCGAGCTGTAAGGCCCACTTTCTTATCTTGAGGGTGCATTTTGGAATTTTGGGGTTTGCCTCTCCCTGACTTGAACGTAGTTCCGCGCCCCTGTGTTCATCCAAATAAACCACATTTGAGGCATTTCGATCGTATTTTAGTGTCTAGGTCAAGTGAGATCTAGCAGTGCTTCAAAGTAGACCTATATTTAATATTGATGTAGACCCCTAGACTAGACTACGTACTGACTATACTTTTTATTTTCTGCCTCCTGTTTTGAGCTCTGGGCATAAACCATCCCCTTCGGAACTATGCCTATGTATCGTATTACTTTGTTCTGATCCCTTCATCAGGGATTTCCTGGTCCTTTTCTGGCCGTTAACTCAGGCATGACTTAACTGCTATCTTGTCAATCTCAGTAATACTCCGACTAATATGCCATTTCACCCAAATGCGGCTTACGCTTGTTATCGCCTCTGACCTACGCATGACTGGAACCTATTCTGCCGTCTGCATCAGTCAACATCTGACCTTGTTCCGAACTGCATTCATGGCACTCCAATTGTGCTCGCATTCCTCCCAGCCATGATCCAACGTCGGTCGGAACTGATTTCGTTGTGACCTCTAATACACGTACACCTGATCTCGTCCTGACATGGGACCAACGTCATGACCTGACCCTGTTCTGACCTGTCACCTGCATATGATCCGGTTGTCTTCTGCAATGACCAGGAATCCAGGTGTGACCGATCGTACCTTTACCAGCCTGACTTCTGCCCGATCCTTGACCCAGGCATCTCCAGACCACTTGTGGCATCTCACCCTTGTATGTTGTGACCTCTGACCCAGGTATGAGCCACAACAGCAGCCGGGTGCTGTTCAGACCGGGTGAGCTGGCGTCGGAAGCTGTGCGCCAGTTTGCTGAGCACGGCAGCTCGGCCGGCCTGGAGGTCATCGCTCAAGGTCACAGCGGCGTCCTTGACCAGTTCACTGCGCCACCTGTGAAGCAGGGCGAAGGCAGCGCGCATGCGCGGATTTTCGTGGATGGAATCCACTCCCAGGTGAGGCACGCTCTTTGCTGCAGCTGTGAGCAATCATGCCCGTTGATTATTATGACAGGACCCGTTCACTGTCACGACGTCTGGCGCGCCGTGGAAAATCCGCCGTAATTAATTGCGAGCGGTTTGGGGTGCGACTCGATTGCAGTTATCATGTCCAGTCAACAAGACGCTTCCACCGCGGTTGCTAGGAGGCAGAGAGTTGCCGTTTTCACCCCAAGCTGTGGTCCCGGCAGACAGGCTTGGGTTTACGTCAACAAACCCACGCGGCACTGTCAAGGTCGGTGGTGCGTCATCTTTTACGACGCTGAGACGCTCCATGACCAGATCAGACGACGCTCAGGACCGTAATGATATACACTGTTTCGGCGGGTATGCACGTTGACAATACCAGCCGGGCGTACGTCATCGACCGGAGTTCAGCATACCCCCCGGGAGGTTCTGACTCCGCTCAAGTTAGATTTGTCCTTAGATTAGATTAGGCCAACATCAGATTGCATCGTGGCTGGGTGACTGGTCACAAGTGCGGGGTGAGTCCACCAGTTCCAGCTGGCAATCGTGTTTACCTTTGAGGCGACCAGTGGGGCGTGGGACAAGATAGGCTCTAAATAGACTGGAAGGCTATCAGCCATCGTCACCTAAAGACACTAAAATATAAACGAATGCGGCCAGGTACCTGCGAAAACCCGTACAAATCGCTCCCATGAATGCATTGAAAAGTCCTTCTTTCATGAAACTTTGGCTGGATGAAGTTCAGTGGTGCGACGTTGACCAGACGATTCAGATATCGCGGTACTCAGATATTGTTTTGTCATGGGCTTGTCACCACTTGGCAGCCTCAGTCAATGTCACAAACCCAGCGTCATCACGCGACTGCTGCACTCCCTAGAGAATCTGTCACCGGCCCAGCGGCATCTTCACCGCAGGACTGGCGGTGCCCAGCGCAGCATGTTGTCTTCTCACGCCTGCTGCACGCCCGAGAGAGGCTGGCACCGGCCTCGCTGTCCGCGGCTCTCCTCTCAGACCTCTCGGCGCAAGCCTGGGAACTCCCCGATATGATGGTACCCATGACCCTCCGAAAAACTACTTCGCATTTCATCGTCCGCATCTGCGCTTCATCTGTGCTTGATCTCAGAGGCCGCAAATAAACAACAAAACAGAAAATGAAGACAGCTGGACGACTCAAATGATGATCATGGCACCAATAGTTTCCTCGCAAGCCAAACTTGCTTGGTATGACAGCTACCGGCAGTGGGGCTTCGATACTCTTTCTGAAAATAAATGGGTATGTCGTATCATGCACGCCAAAGGACATTTCGATACTGGTGATGTTTATGTGACCTGAGAGGTAACTTATCTGATCAAGGCGCAAAAACCTATATATTTACTGAATCAAAAGAAAGTAAAGCTGGCGTTGGTGCCTACGGAAACATTTGTTACCTAGTTGAAAAGTTTTACTTGCGGTACAATTTCAAGCCATTTTCGTCACGATCAGTTTTAGGTCACTGGGAAAATCCAGATCCACGTCACCAATTGACCTGGAAACAAGAACCCCGATCTATTTAAAAAGCTTAGGCCAGCAGACAACACGCTGGTTTCCACCCAATCATCTGTCTGTTTCATCTCAGAAGTTAGTGGGGAAAGCGGGGCTGTCATGTCCCCCTCGCCAGGGCAGGGTGGGGAAGCGGGGCTGTCATGTCCCCCTCGCCAGGGCAGGGTGGGGAAGCGGTACCGTCATGTCCCCTCGCCAGGGCAGGGTGGGGAAGCGGGGCTGTCATGTCCCCCTCGCCAGGGCAGGGTGGGGAAGCGGGGCTGTCATGTCCCCCTCGCCAGGGCAGGGTGGGGAAGCGGGGCTGTCATGTCCCCCTCGCCAGGGCAGGGTGGGGCAAGCGGGGCTGTCATGTCCCCCTCGTCGGGGCAGGGTGGGGCAAGCGGGGGCTGTCATGGCCCCCTCGCCAGGGCAGGGTGGGGCAAGCGGGGCTGTCATGTCCCCCTCGCCAGGGCAGGGTGGGGCAAGCGGGGCTGTCATGTCCCCCTCGCCAGGGCAGGGTGGGGCAAGCGGGGCTGTCATGTCCCCCTCGCCAGGGCAGGGTGGGGAAGCGGGGCTGTCATGTCCCCCTCGCCAGGGCAGGGTGTAAGAGTGAATTCGTCGGGCGAGCCTTGATCGGCCGGAGCTTGACGACGTTAACCTTCTCCCTGAGCGCGGCTATCTGAGAATATCCCTTCGGCATGGTATATTCGGCATGAGAATACCTCCCCGGCATATCGCGTAATCACACCGAAACTTTCAGTAGCCTTTGGAGCATTCCTACGCGTGTTTATAAACTGAAATGTATTTCTAACTTTGATGGTTTCGGAGCAGCGGCGGTTTTTAGGGAGCGCTGCGTGGCGACCTGCGGCCGGCGAGGATGGCGGCGGCAGCCGACGACTCCACGGACCGCGCGCAGCGGGCCGATACGGTTGCATTATTGGAGCCATACACCATAAGCATATACTCGAAACGCAGACAAATAGATATCATCGTGCTCAGAATCGAACAACTAACAGGCTAGTGTAGGTTCTGTGTAGATACAAGGTGTAATTCTGTAGGTATTCGTATGCAAAATTTGAAAACTAGTTTTTAAGGAAAGATATGGACTTTGACCTGGCATAATGTGGCCAATTTTTGACTCAGCAAAAAACCTAATCGCAAGATTTCGTTGAGGTGACGTCATTGGTGTTTTCCGCCAAGTTCTATCTTTCTTAGTTTGCAAACGGCGGGGACATCGACCTCCCTATCAATCTGCGTTATGAAAAACGGCGAATCAGGGCGAGGGTCAAACCAGTGCATCCTGGTGTATTAAAGGTTAATAAATGCCAAGATGACAGCTTTATAAACTCATATTATGGAAAATCGCAGAGCCCATGGCTTTTTACATCACTCGTGTTTCCTGCTATTACCCGCAGGTGTCCTTGATGTCGAAGATCGTGCCCTCTCCAGACTGGTTTGTGGGAATCGACAGCGTCGATCTCTGCGACGGGGGTCGCTGGATCGACTCCCTGGACGTGAAGGTATGTGTGATGATTCCGAATAGGACTTATTGCGGAAATTGGCAATAATGCAAACTAGCCAGCATCTTCTGCCGTTTTCTCAAAGGCCCATATGCATGAAACGTTTTGAAACGTAATATAACAAACTTCGTTGATGCCGCGCTCTGTGTAAATTTAGATACGCAAGTAGCGGACAAGACCAATACCGATACCGCAGTGGGGATAATACAGTGTTTAACCGGCGTACGCATCGGGAACGGCAGCCGCGAATTCCTGCACGGACCCGCTTTGGTAAGCCCATTTGTATCCGGAGGAGCCACAAGAAAACGCGGACCATTTTACGTCCGACAAATGTGGCGCTACCGCTTTCACGACCGTCTCGTCTCGTAGACACTCTCACAACAAACATCAGGGATCACTCATCGGTATCTGCGACGATAGCCAAGGCCGCAAACGTAAGCACAACACATCTCATATGACATTGTTGATAGCCCCTGCAGCAACAAAGGCCAGCTATCCAAAGAGTGGCCCCGAGCGCACCGGGCAGGCACAGACAGCCACCGTCTCTGGTGCACCGGGCAGACTCCGACAGCTACCGTCTCTGGTGCACCGGGCAACTCCGACAGCCACCGTCTCTGGTGCACCGGGCAGGCTCCGACAGCCATCGTCTCTGGTGTACCGGGCAGGCTCCGACAGCCATCGTCTCTGGTGTACCGGGCAGGCTCCGACAAGCCATCGTCCCTGATGTAGGGCAGGCTCCGAAGCCATCGTCTCTGGTGTACCGGGCAGGCTCCGAAAGCCATCGTCCCTGTGTACCGGCAGGCTCCGACAGCCATCGTCTCTGGTGTACCGGCAGGCTCGACAGCCATCGTCCCTGATGTACCGGGCAGGCTCGACGCCATCGTCCCTGATGTAAGGGCAGGTCTCCGACAGCCATCGTTTCTGGTGTACCGGGCAGGCTCCGACAGCCACCGTCCCTGGTGTACCGGGCAGGCTCCGACAGACATCGCCTCTGGTGCACCGGGAGGCTTCCGACAGCCACCGTCTTGGTGCACCGGGCAGGCTCCGACAGACCACCGTCTTGGGGCACCGGGAAGGGACAGACAGGCTTTGGGGGGCACCGCTCAGATAAGACACCGTCGGTGGCTTGAACAGGGCAGGCTCCGACAGCCACCGTCTTTGGTGCACCAGGCAGGATCCGGCAGCCACCGTCTCGGGTGCACCGGGCAGGCTCCGACAGCCAACGTCTTGGGTGACGCCAGCGAGATGACCGTGGCCGCGCCTCCCGATCGCCGACAGACTCGTGATCGAACGCGACATTTGTGCTCCGTGCTCGGTCGGTGGTCGCCCTCCGCTCCCGAGCGCGGGGCGAAGGCGGAGGGCTGGGGTCACCGGCTGAGTTCAGACGTGCCCAATCGGCAATCCTGTGGGGGCGCAGTGGGAGCGTTCAAAGCACAGCATGGACGCGGGTTTACGGTCTGCACTGCTCCGCACTGTGGCAGGTGACGGACGCCATTCCTGCGGAGTAATGGCCAGGCTATTGTTTGGTGACTGTAAAAACAGGCCACTCGGCAAGGTCCTGCGACCGTTAAAGTTCAGTGCGCACTTCGCCACGCTCGATCGGGTACGGCGCTTGGCGGCCTCCCACTCTCGGGGCCTAAACTAAGCGTCACACGACCTTCGCATTGAATGTTGCACCCATGGCGCTTGCAAGCCAGTGTTTATTGTTGAAGGACCCTTTTAACGGTTTGCTAGCTATTAGCAACTTAACACGTTTGCGGTGTTTTATGATTTGATACCGTGAGACCTAATGCGCAAACGCAGAACGACGAATTGCCGCGTGATGGGAAAACGAAAATGCTATTATAGCAACGTTTACCAGCTATTTTCACATTTCTGCCGACAAACGATGAGTTTCTTGGCTATTTGGCTAGTTTCTTGGCTATTATCCTGTTTCCTTGCATTTTATAATTATGTGTTCGTGGCATGCGGCGGGACCAAGTTATGCAGCTGTTGAATACATACGTTCGTGGAAAGTGCTACTAGACCTCTTCCCGCTAGCATTTATTCGACAGGTACCTAATGTGCTCCCGCCGTATTCTACATGCACTCATTCTGAAATACACGAACAGCACTATAAAATGAGGCGAGTGTAATAATTTTTAGACGGTATAACAAAATCACTGGTAAATTGTCTTCTGAAAGCGTTGTCGTTTCGTCATCATGCACTATTCGCCGTTTTGCGTTAATGCATTTGTTCTCCTGAGACCGTATCATCAAATACCACAAACACCAGACGACAAATAGATGCGAAACGATGAGGCGAGGACCTCAGGAGCGGAAAACTACGGCTGTTTTGATAGCTTTCACGACAAATCGTGCACCTGCGTCTGCTTATGTCATTTCTGGACTTTTCAGATTTGGTACCAAATTACGTAACTTTCCAGTAATGCTTGCATGAAAATGACTGCTATGTCCCAGTTTTGGTTACTAATATCATACACGGAGCAGCATCAGGTCACCAACAGAGGTCATACGGGATGGACTGTTTTAAGTTGCATTTATAACCGTTGGGCCAAGCTGATTTGCGCCACCGTTTCGTGGTAAATAGGCCTTATTAATTTGTATTCTTACCAACCAATGCGCATCGCAAGATGTGCGTCGAGGTCATGCAGGTGCAATAGATAGCTTTACATCACGTGCAATAGGCTGAACTCGCCTTGCCCTGACTTGGCGTTGACCCGGCCTAGCCGTAACCTGTGAACTGTGTCATTATACACGATTCTGTTGCGCAAAACAAAGCTTCCTTCTTCGGTGTTCCTTTTTTGGCTCATGTTTAGCTGTTATTTGTCCCAGCTGCAAACCTGTATGAAGAGGATTTTGAGGTCGTTGGCGGTTTTTTGGACATTCCGCTGCGACCTGTGACGGCTCGATTCATGTGACGGACGCCAGTTTTACCATTTCTGGTTGGCATCTGCGGACCTGTTCGCAAGGTACCGCAGATGGCTCTGGGGTGAGCAATGACAGTAACATTAAGGCAGGCAGGGGTAAAACCTATGGCTTGTCGGCAGGGCTATGAAAGCAGCCGTATTTTTTCACTCCGAATGCGGTCTTGGTATATCATCATATACCTGCTTGTCATCTCAAGTTTGCGGTGCTCCATGGTTTGATATCATGGAACAAGCGTAAAATGACGAAATGGTATACGATGACGAAACAAAAACGCCTCCAGAGTAAAGTTGACCAAGCGAGGAAAATGTATACGTGCCAAAATATTATTCGTAGTTGGATGCATTTAGTTTATATTTTGCATGTCAAAAGAATTGCACGAGAACATTATGCTCCCATCATACTGTTAAGCATATACTCAAACTTCCTAGAGTTTTTAAAAACTTTTTTCAGAACTTTTCAGTGTATTAATCCATCAAGAAAACAGCTATGGTATACGAAAACACCGATCTGTTGCCACGTAACTAATCGTTCCATACTTACGAGCCTGCAAGTACTACCGTGTTGTTTACTGATGTGGGCATCATAACAACGATATCTTTGCAACTGATGTCACCGTCCTCTGCTGTCAGGTCCCATATTCAAAGGTCAGAATCAGCCTGACCTAATGGACGGCGTAGTCGGTCTGAATTAACTCCAGGCTTTGTGAATTGGGACTGGACCTGCTTTTGAGAAGTACGATTCATGCTCCGCTTGCGCTCACGCTCTGCGCTCTGCAACGCAGACTTTTTCGGCGGTCGTGCGCGTTTTGCGATTCCCTCACACGCTTCCACTGCGCCCACTAAGCTACCTGAACTCAGCACGTTGCGCACAAGGGCGTAGACAAATATACTTCACGATCACAGCAAGGGAAAACCCATTAGGCACAGCCAGCCGACGTAGATCAGACAGACCAATCCACCCATGTGCCTGGGGTTTGTTAACTCAGCTCCCACTTGCAAGGTAAGCAGTTCAAGAGCGGCGCGGGTGGTTTGGGTGGTGATCGACAGACGCAGCAAGCCACACCTGTCACTGGATCCTCAAGCGGACGGCAGTCACGGCGGCCGTCGGCACCGTGACGCGTCACGGCCGGTCTTAATGGCTATCGGCGGCGTATCAGACGGAGGCGGTGAGCCATGCCAGAGCCACGCCTGGCCTGCTGAGTAAGCGGCCGGTGGCTGGCGCGGCGCCACCCGGACCGGCCGCCTATCACGTGTGCCGCTCTTCCGGGGCTGGTCAGGCTGGCTCGTCCAGCGCGCTGGCGCCGGTCACCGAGCCAGCTCACCACAGTGTGCCACGGGTCGAACAGCCTCGTTCACTGCAGCACGTCCGCCGGCATCGGCGCACATCTAAGCGTGCTCCAAAGCCGCCTCGGTAAGGTGCGGTGCTACAGGTCGACCCTGCGATGTGAGCTGTGCTGCCCAGACCGCGTCCTTTGAGCGGCGCCGCTGTGCCGGCAGCTGTTCCCGATGGACGGCGGCACCGACCAGGGAATGACGTTCACGTCGCCCAACTGGGCGTCGGAGCCGCACGAGCCCATCTGCCAGATCACGAGCCGCAAGCCGAGCCACCCGGCCGGCAGCTTCCACTACCCGACCACGCCGACGCTGCCGCCCATCGCCAGTCTGCGCTTCGCCAGGGTCAGCCGTGTTGTTGTTGGCCGACGGCGAGCCGCCCCGGGCCCGGCCGCCCCGCAGGCGCCTGTTGATCATCGGCGCGACAGCTGACCTCCAACAGACCCTGCGGGAGGGGAGGGCAGGGGATCTAACGGGAGGTGTCACTGTTGGGCCCCGCCTCTCAAATGCGCTCAGTCTTTGTCAACTGAACGGCGTGAGGTGCGGAGGGGGTCGTGAAGGAGCTCTTACGTGGCGTGCGCATCATTACGAGGTTAGGTGGATGAGCACTGTCTCGGTTGTCTGGCACGAATTTATGTCGCACCAATCGGTGGAAATGAGCTTGTAAGTTTGTGTTGACTGGTTCGCCACCAATCAGTGTTGGAATGTAAACAATGTGGTCTAGAGGCCAAAACCTTTATCAAAGGTGTCATGAGGTAGCATTTAGTGTTATGTCACGAAAAGTCAAAGATTAGGAGCTGGCATGGTTGGTAGTTCTCCGGGTACACCTGACATCGCTGCGCTGTCTCTGCAGATGAGTTTGTACAAGCTCTCGGACTCGTTTGAAAGGCGGCCCGACACGGTGACCTACACAGTCGGCACCCTGGACCCGAGCCATGCCTTCATCTCGGCCTCGTCCCGAGGCTCTGGCGACCAGCCCGGGCTGCGAGTCCTCGTGACGTCAGACAGCGCCGTCAACCGCAGCAGCACAGCCAGAGCCGTAGCCTCTGCCTGGCGGCGGAGTTCCAACGTCACGTCTGCACAGCTGGCGCTGCAGTTGCCGAAGGACTCGGCAAAGACGGCGCCACCGTCGCAGCTCCGCCCGAACGGCATTTCGCAGTGGCAGCGCACCCAGCAGGTCGGCCCGGCGCCGCGACCGCAGTCTGCCTGGCCGGCCAAGCTGAGCTCGACTGGCGCCGCCGCTGCGCCGCCGCCGCCGGCTCAGAACAGGGACGCGAGTGCGGCGAGGGAGGTGCTCCGGCCGAACGGCGAGGTGGCCCGAGCGGCGCTGGGACCGGACGGCAGCGTGACGCGCGTGGCACTGCGGCCTGACGGCAGCGTGGCACGCGTGGCGCTCCGTCCGGACGGGCCGCCAGTGAAGCTCGGAGGACTGCGCGTCTGGGCCGTGCAGAGCGGAGGCGTGGAGGGAGCCAAGGTGGCCGCCGGAGACAAGAAAGCCATCATCAGGAAAATCGCCAAGCACTATCACCGACGCAAAGGGCGACACCGACAACGGCGGCTGAGACGCCGCAGACGCAAACGTCAGTTCTAATGCTTGGATTATAACTCGGCATGCAAAACGGTTGCCGGTCCAGTGACCTTTGCCACACTCAGAACACTAGGGGTTCGTTGCTAGGAATACAGCTAGAATGGGATGGGCACGCAAATTGTTGGTCCTTTGTTGGTCCTTGTCAGGAAATTAGATGTCGTGCATGCACTTTGCTTTATCGGTGTGTGCTTCTGTTAAGGTACTTCGCCGGGAAGCTACGATGATGTGCTTGCAACGTGATAGCACAAGCCCTTGCTAGTAGTCACAAATCATTGCTCGCGAAACGAAGATGCTACATTCTCCTGTTTGACTGAAACTGATATCTCATTATGTCCTGTTTCATACTGTATTAGCAAATCGTTTCCGACCTCGGACCAGGGCTGGCGTTTCTCGCACCGCATTAACGACCGTGCTCCAGGTGCCTTTCCAAACCACACCGCAGTCCAGTCTGACAGTCTGCCCCGCGCTCCACAGGTGGTCCCCGCAACTGCCAGGTGGGCGAGTGGTCGGCCTGGGGTGCGTGTTCGCGCGCCTGTGGTATCGGCGAGACGACGCGGCGCCGGACAGTGACCCATCACGCACTCCGCGGCGGCCGGCCCTGCCCCAGCCTGCAAGAGCGGCGCTGGTGCGGCTCCGAACGCAGCTGCACCCGCCGGCGCTACTTCCGCTGGTAGCCGGTAGGCCGCGCCACCGGCACGAACGCGGCACGCAGATGGCGCTGCCTGCTGTGATCAGATGCGATGCCACTGAGGCAGCCGTGCTTGCCGGATAACATTGCCCCTGCCACGGGTGCTCTGAGAGGTGGTGTCAGTGCATCCCCCCATTGCCAGTGACTGCTGTTAATACTTGTGAGTGACTCCTGGGCATTGACTGTCAGTCGTTGCTTCTCGAACTTCAAGGCGCCGCCTGTTGTTCGGTGCATAGCAACATAAGCCAGTGAATCTCTCTAGAGGCCATGCTACTGAAGTTGTGTGCAGCGAGCGTCGTCTTAGGAGTATGAAAGAGACATATTGATTGTACTGCTGTCGCCGCTGGTGTCTTACACATTGACTTATTTACACCTTTTTAACACATTTATACCGGCGGATTTGATCGGATTACAAGGGCTCTCGGACTGATCAGTCCGCTTCTGATTATGGTTTGGTCGTGGGTGTGAAGCAATTCGCGATGTTCTCACTTGCGCTGTCAATGTCCAGTGAGCTACATGCACGCTGCACACGCCGGTGCTATATTCGGTGAAAGCTTGTTTAGTGTAACAAGGGCTGCTTTGCGAGCAGCGATGCTAAGGTTGCAATCATTGATACTATGGAAATCCTTTTTGTGTATGTTATATTGGCGCAGTTAGCATTGCAAGCAGCAAAGCTAGTGTGGTAAAGTATGATTTTTGAAAGAGCAGTTTTGTATTTGCTATGTAGCGCGGCGTCGCATTCTCCTGTCACAGTGCTGACACGCGTATGCCTGTGTTTGGGCGGGCTGTGCATCACGCACGCGCTGAAACAATGGAGCGTGTGGGCTGCTGCCGTCAGTTACCCATTGATAAAGAACCCCTTGAAGCATGCAAACAGCCGGGGCAAATACGCCGGGATGGAACTAAAGCTGACATTGGCAACGAACGTTCCCAAGCCTGCTATCCAGGACGCACGCGCCCACTTCGACGGCTTTCACAACACCGGTGTAAATCCAATAATTTTGAGACCCGCTCTCAACAGAGAAGCATCGATCGGTCCTGATCAGTTTAAGATGCCTGATAACGGCGCGTGCGTGGTTCTCTGGGGGTTCGCCTGCTCGCGGAAAGCAGCCTGAAGCAGCGCATCTCAGAGGAGGCTGGCCTTGCCAGCGCTCAGAGCCCAGCGCTGGTCCATGATAACTGCAGTGTAGTGCCGAGTATAGTGCCGAGTTGTAGTGCTGTCGTGCTTCGTTGTGCCAAGTTTAGACGCTCGGCAATGCAGGCGAGGGTGTTCATAGACATGAGTACCCTAAGCGGATAAATGTGTGCCCGCACAAAATGCACAACCGTATCCATGCACATGAACGAACCTGCTAGCATTGAACAACGTAAATGCTCTCGCTTTTGGTTCGCTTAAGAAGCTCCGCCTCATAAACGCAGCGTACGCGCAGCGCTCATCTCACTGTTGTTGCCGGCGAGACTGTGACCTGAGTGCGTGGTCTGCTGCGCGCGCTGCCCGCTGCCCTGACAGGCTGTCACTGACTCCGGCCAGGAGAGAGCGCAGCTGGGGCTACGCTGCTGTGAGCTCGGCGTCGGAGCCTCCGTGGCGCTACGCTTGTGCGCCGCATACCGGTGCTGGAGTAAGTACTGGTGGCGTGGAAGTGTATATGGTTAAACTGACAATATACGTCTGTACTGCGCGCATGCTTCTTCCAATGGAATGACGAGTACCAGCAAGTTGGTGGGCTGTAGATGAGGGCAAAATAGTCGCGATCCTATCTGAACGATGGCCTCATGCCAGACCAGCTACTGATAAAACAATGTATGAGGACCAGTACGTTTGGACTAGTGCCACAGCGTGACTGGTTGGGTAACGAAAACAAACAGACGGAAGACTACATTGTATTGCAAGCTAAATGGACCCTGGTTTTCACGTCCGATCTGGTGTCAGATAAACTTGAAAGAATTAGTGCTGTATACTGAAGAAACATCTTCGATTTCTTCTTTTCTTTGTACAGCCATGCACAATTCATGTTGTCATCAGCGGCCACTGAGATCAACTTTTGCGTTTAGGCACTACTCCCCGCCAAGTCAACAGAAGCTCACGGAAACGAAAACAGTCTTTTCCTCAGAATTATTCAAAACAATCTTTCACGTCTTAGGCGTGACTATGCATTGTCAACTTTAAAGCTGGATTTAAGATGTAGTTAATTATGCATTTCCGGGGTGTGTTCTTAAGGATTTTTCGCCTCTTTTGTCAAGATCAAAGCTAACTGGCGTGAAAAACAAGTTACAAGGCTTTTCAAAACTACATGATACGCTGCTATCTGTCTTGTTGAACTAGTTCAAGTATCGCCTGCTGTTTTGTGGCGTCAGTTCAAGTTCACTGGCTCAAACGACACCAGCTATTTTGTGGCTCGCCGTTCCGTGCGGAAACTGGACGATAGTCCAAGAAACAGTCAGAGCATCACTGAGCCAATCCCTGTCTACGAATCGAGAACTAGCCCTTGGCATGAGCCTCATTCCGCGCCAAAAGGGCAGCTCCACCGGCAGTTCAGCTTTTGGCCCGCCGCCAACTGCATCTTCACTCAAAGCCGGGTTTGCTCAGAGCCAGACTCGATAGTGTGCAGCGGTGCAAGCCGCCGCCGGTGCGCTGCACGGCGTTACGTCAGATGTGACCAGAGGAACAGAGCGCTTACGCTCTGAGGTCAGGCTCATTCTGATGGCTGTATGAGAGCATCGGGTTTTCAGGGTGGATTGTAACTTGCCACCCCTTTTCTGTCTTGTCAAATCTTAAGAATAAAAATACGGACAGTTTCAGCATATGACAGGTAAATAAACGCGGGCAGCGAGTCATGATAAGGAGAGTGGGTACCCTGTCACCTACATGTACTGTATGCCGCACAGCCACACAGTGCAACATAACGCAAAACCGACGACTCGTCTTCAAGTTCGATTTTCATTGCACATGTTGGAAGAGCACTAAATGACACTAACTTGTCCCGAGTCTTGATCTTACCCGACATGGACAGAAAGACCGAACTTCGTTTGTTTAAACATCAAACAGAATCTGAGCGTAAAAACACGTAACTTCCGAAAACAAGCTGATGTTAGCGGCTGGACGGCATTACCCATAGGCAGCTGTCGTCTGGCTGCCGGGCCATGATCGGTGCGGAAGCCAGACACGTGCCGTCTGGAGGTCACGGGCGAGACTGTCTGGAGGTCAGCGGCTGGCGTGCCGGCCAGTGGAAGACCACGCCCTCGTCAGCTGTCCTAGTGGCTCGTCCGTGAACATCGGAGTGTTGCCTTGGTAACGGCAGACGCGTCATGTTTGTAATCTGGATAGCAAATCTAGTCAATGTTGTTTACAGGTTTGCTATCAATTTGATTACTATTTGGTTATTTTAATAGGGCGTGTCGGTGGTCTTAGTTTCCTATTCCGCGGTGGCAGGCTACTCTTATCCACAGAGTCATCCTTTTTTCAATGTAAATGGCTTGGGCTAAATATTTGTGGATGTTCAGATTTGGCATCCGTTTTGAGACAATTTTGGCAACATAACACTTGCCTGGCCTGTCCATTTCTGTCCCAAGGAATTCGGCCCAACTATATCAATGACGGCTATGAGATGTTCTGATGGTTGTTAACAGGTCAAATGCTTAACGCATTCCATCCTGCGCCAATGAAGCCAAGATGTTGCTAGCACACGACAACACGATTATCAACTGCCGAGCGTTAGCATCACCCAACCAATGAGTCGCGTTATGAGAGGCTGGACTCCGACCAAGTGTGAAATGTTAATGCTGCCAACGCTGTCATCTGACCGCGCACACAGCGCTGGGCGACGTTTGGGTTTTGCCGGCTGACTGATTGAATCAGGAAAAAATCACTCTAAGGGGTTAAGAGAGAAAAGGCCGAGAAAAGAAAAGAATGAGGAGGAAACAAATACATGGGGGCAAGGGAATGCTTTGCCACATGCCAGGGAGCAAGTTCCCAGGACTGGGTACCTCAGCTCCTGCGGCCGTCGCCGACCCAGCTGAACTCCTCGATGATGAGCCCGTAGAGGGTCATCATTTGTAGAGGAGGTCCCCGGCCAAGTCTCCTGCGCCTGGATGGCGAGACACGGGGTTCGATTTAAGACCGGACGACTCGATGGCGGTACGCCACGGCTGCCACACACCCCAAATGACAGCGGGTGAATTGTGGGATCGCAAAATACTGGACGAGGGTTCATCCAGTACACTCACAACTCGGCTTCAGTGCTGTCATCACCATCGCCCTACTGCCATTGCTGATCATCCGTGGCGTCGAGCACTGCCGTTCAGTTGACTAGAGACTGATTGACGATTGTTGATGACAACAGCTGATGTCGCGGCGAGCATAGCTGCACTGGCGACCTCTCAGACACACCAAACTGCGCGAGGCACTGCATACGAATGAGGCCGACGCATGTGGCGCCGGCCTAAGGTGACTCACGTGCATCCCGCCCGCCGATCAGTCACGAGCCCACGCACCTGCCCGGGCCAGACACGGCCCCGGGCGAGGCCCCACGTCCATGCGGACACGCAGTCCCGCGGCCACGCGGCCCACACCGCTTAGCTAGTCGTCGATTGCCACAGTTAAGTTGCGGTGGTTTATTTTTTTACTCGCTCTGTGACAAAAGTGCCGTAAATTGCGCGCATTTATGTTACGTTTTCTCATTAAGAGCATCCACAGCAAATCAAACGATGCGACAAAAACCATCCGACCGTTTCCTGCGGGAGTTAAAGCAATTCAGCGCAGGGGCCTGCTCTGATGCACTCTAAAGCTCCCTTATGACTTTACAAATTCATGACTGATATGCCCAAGGGAGTGGCGTAGAATGGCGTGGAGAAATAAATCGTAATACAAATATACAATAACAGTGAAAATAATTTGGCAAAATAAATTGATGACACGTGGTAAAAATAATTCACAAACACAATGGCGCGTGTTTATTGATCTAGCTTCATACTACAAAATTTTATGCTGTAAAAATACTTCCTGCTATCAATTCATGTCACAACAATGGTCCATGTACCCATGCGGAATATTTTTACAATACATTAATTAGTTGTTGCGTCAGTGGCAGATGCAGTAATTTGCATGCTAAGGGTACATTCCTCCTCTGAGTGAGGCTCCACAATCTACTCTGCTTCAGGCACGTCCATCTTGACCTAGACATTGACATGACATACCGAGATCTGTCACCAAAATTTCAGGTTGTAAGCGAGCAGGCCTTTTTTGTTTGATTTATCATCTTTTACTTTTTGCTGTCATTCCGCGTGTGTGGGCTTACCTTGTCATGGGTAGGGGCAAAAACCTCAGATATATTGTGGAAGAATCTTAGCATACGTGTTCAGCCATATCTAGAAGCGCCTAAAAATATCAAACAAGTCAAAAATATTCCTTACTGAGGCTAAGCGACGTAAGAATGTCGGTGGGGGACTCTGGAGAGGTCGGAATCAGGTAAGGCACCAGTTAATGAGCCTTCACATGTTTGTGTTAACAGAGCTATCACGGCTGAAAGCCTTATCTATGAGGCCAGAAGTATCGCAAGAGCGTACCAGTAAGTCTTGTTCTGTCAGTGAAAGATGATGCGCAATTAGGCAATTTCTTGCCTCCTCCAGGTGTCACGTCAAACACTTCCATGCCCTTGAAACAAAATCCGTTGACAGCGAAGAAGGCGTTACAACCCTTTCGGGCGTCGAAGTCGCCCTCTGCTAAGTTTTGGTACCACATGCTAACTACATGAAGGGAAAATCATTCCAGCATGTGCACCGGAATAGTCGCCTTGGTATCGAAATGTCTTAATATGCCCGTGTGGAAAGACACGGCCTTGATGACCTTACAACAGATTTTTGAGAAGTGTTATTTTCGATCCACATGAAGCACCTTTATGGAAGAAACTTGAAACAACTGAATAAAATATAACATATTTCAAATCAAGTCATATAAAACGAAAGATGAAATCTGGTCAAAAGAGAAATACAATCATGGCGTTATTTCTCGATGGCTAAGTTAAAATTGCATGCGCTTTCCAGTTTCCCAAAATCTAAGTGACGTCTTTCGCTTATGGACGCGTAACTTTGAATCCGAGTAATTACGAGTATACAAAGTGGGCTACGGGCCAGACAGGGTCTTAAAAGCAACGTATAAGGCAAACACGTCTGCTATCCGAAACGGCTCGTCCGGTGGCCTTGAAATGTTCACCAATCGATTCAGTGCGGTGAGGTGAGTCATGGGTTGGCAATATTGAGACCTGACCTGGGGTCAAACGCCCCAAAAGCGCGAGGGGAATATGTCTCATGTAAAACCAGACAACTCAGATTTCAGCACCTACAGCATCGATCGCTGTCAGGTCTTCACCAATGGATGCACTGCGCGTAATTCCCTCTTGTAGTTGAAGATTTGGTGACTCTGGGTTAGGTCAAAGGTCATCAAATTTCACAGATTCCAAAATTCCTGCTTGCAGACAACTCATTTTTCAAAACCGACCGAACCCATTGCTGCTAAACTTTCACCATTGGATATGCTGTACCTGATTCCCCCAAGGTAGTGAACGTTACATTGACGATTTGTTTATTTTGTGCGCTAATGCAAAAACACCCTCTGCTCTTTTGGTGAGAGACGCACAAAGTGCACTGTACACGACATATTCAAATTTAGGCTGATTTG